CAGTGCAGAGAGGCATGAATTAAACCTGATTATAAAAATACATATGCAATGAAGAAGCAGCTTACACTCAATTGACATGACCAGATAACATGAACGCAAGGTGAATACATGAAATAAATTGGTATTTCGGGCCGGAGAGAGAGAAGTGGGTCATTTAAGCACCGATGATAATAATGAAAATGTCTCAGTTTTGGTATTTCTAGGTGCAAAGCAGACCTGGATCAATTTTCCACATGCAGCGGTCAGAAGAAAGTTATAGGTTAACATTACTTGAAACGTTCAGGCCAAGTTTCTGGTTGAATTGTTTACAGCGCCATGTGTCACTAAACCTGACAAGTGAGCTCTCCTGGCTGAAGATAAGGAATGCTGTTACTTAAGGTGGGAAATCACAATTTGGGTTAGTAAACTTGGGAAAGAGAAAACTGACTGCTTAAGTTGGAAAATTGTGAAGGAGTCTGAAACACTGCAAAAAGAAAACATATACAAAATCACACACACAAACAAAAAATGCATTAAGCTTACAAATACAAGAGAGCTCATGAGGATTAGACAGCATGTTGAGCATGTGAGTCTGTTTATCAGTGTTGAAGTAGTGTGAACACACTTAAACCCTGAACTTGAGGAATAACTCAGGAAAGTTTCATGACAGGGGAGTGACGTTGGTGAAAATGAAAAGTGATTAAAAGCTTAAAGTAGTTTTAAAATAGTGAATTGGAAGTGCTCTTGTGTCGATGGAGCAAAACTAGTGATTACCCTAGGAAGAAAATAATTTAATAATGTAGTAAGATTTGAATATCTCTTGTCACGGTAACTTCCTGAGATATGACTCAGTATGCAAATTAGCTGAAATGAGCAGTGAGAAAGAAGCTTCCTGTGTGGCTGGGTATCAGAGGCTTTCAATCGAGGAAACATAGCTGAGACTGAGAAGAATTACTTGGTGAAATATATAATGGTAAAGTAACAGGATGGCACAGCATAGCATCTTTATTTATAACGCACTTTCCATCCAACAATGTTGACCAAAGTGCTACAAATGTAAAATGGAGAGGAAACAGTTTAAATTACATATAAAATATCTTCAAATTAAAAATAATATAATTAATAAGAAACATATTAAGAGACATCAACAAGTCCTGCTGTGCTAAAAGCCAAGGTAAATAAATATGTTTTAAGACGTGATTTAAAAACAGATAAGGAAGGTCCTGTCTAACATGTAAAGGCAACTCATTCCACAGTTTTGGTGCTGCCACAGCAAACGCCTGATCCCCTCTGAGCTTACGATTAGTCCTGGGCACGCTCAGGAGGAGCTGCTCTGCCGACCTGAGGGACCGTGAAGGTATGTATGGATGAAGAAGCTCAGAGAGGTACAGAGGGGCAGCATTGGACAAACATTTAAAAACAAATAAAAGCAGCTTAAAATGGATCCTAAAATGCACGGGCAGCCAGTGAAGTGAATATAAAACTGGGGTGATGTGCTCGTATCTACGAGCGCCAGTTAAAAGGCGTGCAGCAGCATTCTGGACTAACTGCAGTCGAAAAACAGAAGATCGACTGTTATACATGCATCAGTACATTTCCATATTTTTATATCTATAAAAGAAAGCTGACACTTGTGAGACTTTGTCAAATGTGTGAGCATCACAGCAGAGGCCTTTGTGTCAAAGAAGCTGAGGATAAAACAAAAACATGAAGGTGATTTTCCTGGCCTGGATTTTATAAAAATATTCTGCAGTAGATCAAAAACAAAAGAAAATCATTAATCAACACATGAACATCACCTGATGCTGCTGAAGTGAAGCAGAGCAAAGTTACAGAGGTTTTAGAGACACAGGGTTTTGCAGTTTTGCATAATTTTAAAAAGTTTAAATTTGTTCAGTATTGAACAGCAGAAATGAGGTTTTCTTAAGTAGTAAGTAAAAAGGGGGGAGAGCAGCGGCTGACAGCGCTGTAAACAACTGTAGACTTGTGTGTAACAAGCAAGCGAATAATGAAGCAAACAGATTTTTAGACGGGAAACTGTTCTTGAAGTACAGAGAGAGAGAGAGAGAGAGAGAGAGCTGTGCATGAAGTGTGATTTTATCCTGGTGGAAGCAAAACAGTAAAAGTCAGAGTGAATTCATGACGATGTTTATGTGAAGCGTAGTTTGGATCTTCTTTTGCTGCTGGTTCGGTCAATATTGTTTGGAGAGACATCAAACTAACAGCTTTAGAATCAGCGCAAAAAGACACATCAGAATCAGAATCGCCTTTCTCACCCGATGACCGTGTCCGTGCCGTCGGGTGAGAAAGGCGATTCTGATCCGTAAACGGTTTTTGTTTACGTCTTTGTGCAGAAGCCGTGTACCTGCTCTCATTTACTGTTTCAGCTGTTTGGTGGTTGTAGAAATTTTGTGAGGTTTAACCTGAGATTCTGGCGTTTCGGGCAAAATAAATTTATATTAAAAAATCGATTCAGGATTTTAATGAATCGATTTTACGTTATCCAAGCCAGAATCGATTTTAATCGATGAATCAATCATGAAAACCCACCCCTACTTGAGATGTCCGGGAATCCGGCTGCAGTGAGGAGCCCCGGCGGCACAAACGTCGTTTCCGTGTAGACGTCGGGTCAGGCTGTGAATCCACCGGCTGTCCGGGCTGGTGAGCAGCCTGAGTAGGAGAGTGGAGGGTTGAGAGCAAGAAGTTCATGACCATTGGTTTGAGATCGTCAACCAGCCAGGGAAATTTAAAAAGCGTCTCCTGCAGCCGCCTCTCCACGGCGCGACGCAACCCACTGATCAAAGACCACTGATCAGAATTTGCATAATTAAGATGAAGGAACTGACCTCCCAGCCCATTGTTCCTTCAGTGGGCTGGTTTCAGTCATTATGCAAATGTCCTGTTTGTAAGATTGAAACCTGCAGTCAGCTGAGACTGAAGACGTCACCTGATGATGACGAAACGTTTCTCCCACAAAACGCTACGTCCACATGAACAGAATCAACTTTTGGAGATTTACTTTCCTGGATGACTGAGATGCATCAAGACAAACTAAGTAAACTGTGTGTCAGTGTGACGTAGTGCAGAAATTTATATACGGATTTAGCTGGCAAAGAATTCAGACCTGAGCTTGTGTGTTTGTGTTCAGGTCTCCATTTCCGGAAATGTAAAATAAAGATCATTTTTGAGCTGTGACCACTCTGAGTCCAGTCAAAAGAACTGAATTTAATGTTATTATTATTATTATTATTATTATTTAGACTGATTGGCTGGCATAGAGACACACAGGACACTCCATGCTCTGTGTGTGTTTCTCTTTAAATCCTTGTGTGTGTATGTTTGTGTTGTTAAAGAATAAATATATGTTATTAGTGCTTATTTTCTGTTTACATTGTTTTATAGAGGCCAGAGTAGGAGAACGCCATAATGTGTGTCAAAAGTACTGACAGGAAACTTTATGCAGAGATCAGGAAGCGTTGCAGACAGAAAGTGAAACTAGGCAGGGTTGTTGTGACCGAAACTGTGTGTGACCGTGTGTAACGTATAAGAGAACTATATATTCATTCGGCTTGTAATGCTTTTCGAGCTGTTGATGCTTGCTAGCATCCGCAGCTCTCCTTTTCTGGAAATGTAGAATAAAGTTGTTTTTTTTAGATTTGACCACACTGAGTCGTGTTTCTCTGCCAGAAAAGAATCAGATTTAATAGTATGTGTGTGTTTATGTTTGAATGTGGTCTATCTACCGGCTGTTTAGCTTCGTTTTTCTGGTGCTTTCTTACCTCTGTACATTTTCTGCCAATTTCTCCCCATTCAACAACTACTACTTTTGACAGGACTTCAGCTTGTGCAGCTTTTTTCAGCTTACTGTTTTCCTTGTTCAATATTTCTGCTAATTCATTACAGTTCTGTACAATTCTAGTATTTGTGCCAAATGTAGTACTTCTGCTAAATTATAGTGTTCCTGCTATGTTATAGAATTAGTGCTAAATGTAGTTTTTTGCCAAGTCATAGTATTTGTGCTATGTTTAGTATATGGACTTGTTCTCATAGAGCGCTTTTCTACTCTGTCTAAGCACTCAAAGCGCTTCATGCAACTAATTCATTCACACTCTTTGACACTTCTGGAGGTAGTTCTTCCACAGTTAAATGTGACTGATTGTTTCGGTTCCCCCATAGGCATCAATGATGTGGGGACAGTAAAGTAAGTGCACATACTTGTAGTAAAATGTTTAAATGGGTCATGCTTCCAAATTAACGCTAACTCCCACTAGCAGCCGACTGTGGATTATTTAGTAGTGGGAAATGTCACGACAGCACTTGCTGCACAGGTAACATCCTATCATGGTACCATGCTTTATTTCACTGAGCTCCAGAGACCAATCTATTAGTTCACAATCTATTTGTAGAAACAGTTTGTATGCCTGGGTGCTGATTGTATAATCCCATGGTCATGGATGTTATTGTAACACCTGAATTCAGTGATTAGGATGGATGACTGACCACGTTTGGCAATTTAGTGTATGTCAGAATGAAGATATGGAATGGAAACAGTCTTTACAAATTATGTGATTAATGTCTTCTTTCATATTATGACAAAATACACCAATAATAACTTGAGTTACTTAGTTGACCTTTATTAATGTGATGCATCTTTGTATGTTTTGACAGTAACATCAAAGTTAACCTGTACATTTTAGCCTATTTAACATACAGGATTAATGATTGCATCAGTATGAGGTATTTCAGCAAATAAATATAGTAATAGCAAATCGTAAACAGTATTATCATGGGTTTGCTGTATTAAAAATATTTAGTAGTGCACAGAAATTACAACTTTATTACTCAGGGATTGCATGGTTATCCAAATATTATACTTTTAGTAATTAGTGTTTCATCTTTACTTTTTTTCCTGTACTGCTATTTTTAATTTCTGGCCCGTTGTTCCATGGATTTACATCTTCTCAAGGAAACATGGAAAGCTGTGAGGAGAGTAATTGTGATTCAGGAAAAAATATGGCATGATCATTTGAATTTGACTTTAATGTCTATTTAGATTACAGAAAATGGCACAGTTATCACTGGTAATTGCCCATCTTGCTCACATTTAAAGAAGTTATTGAGGTAATTGATTCATGCAGTTACACTTTGGATTGAATATTCAGAAGTTATCAGGCTTGGGCCTGTCCTTCGCGAATGATCTTCTTTCACCTAGAGAGCCCAAAACACAGCACAACATATATTAGACCACCGATGAAAACTTCACATATATATTTCTTTGTCATTTGCTGATGCTGGCCATGTGTAAGTTGAACTTCCAGAATGTCACACTCACCTGTTGGTTTCTGCGTAGACTTCCCTTTCGGCGGTTCAGGTAGGTTCTTGTAAAGATTCTCATCTCGTTTTTCAAGATGAACCAGAAAGCAACTTACTGCCTGCTCTCCTTTCCTCTTCACCACGTCAACAAGGTTGCGGGCCCGATCTTTTGTGACTGGAGTTGTTTCAAGAATTTCATCTCTCTCTGCATCACTCAGGACTTTATCTTGCAGAAGGTCATCCAGGAGATCCTTAAATGTTGATTTGCTTAGGTTTTCAACCAAATAGTTTCTGTTTTTGTTTATTGTCTGTAGATTGTCTGTATAAATAAAAATGCAGCAGAATTAAAAGATGCAAAACACAAAAGTAATTTGTAGAATAATACACATTTGACACTTTTTTAATAACCAGTTTATCTCAAATACCAGCAAGAAAACCACATTATAACTGAAACTGAAATGTAACTGAAGAGCACTGAACAGCAAGTGTGCACAGTCACTCCTTGAACACAAAGATGAACTATAATCCTAGAGGAAAACAACTTTAATCTAAATACAGATTTTTATGGTCTTAAAATCTTTTATTTTATGCTCTGGATAACTTTTCTACCAAATCAAAAATAATGCACAGACATAACTGGTAAAGAACAGATGACATTCTGTATGTATTTAATAAACAGCATATGTGAGTCAAACTTTCTGGCCATACTTAATGTTTCTGTCTTGTCCTCCTCTGCAACATCACTTTCAGATTGAGCAGCTATTCATCAACTGAATTTAATTGTGCTCTTTGTGCTATTTTAAACACATAGCAGCAGGAGACAGCATTTTAATTTTCAGCATAATCGTCAACATTAATATGTAGCATCAAAATAATTTTGACAAAGTCTTACCATTGGTGGCCATTTCCAACCCTTCTTGTATCGCAAGCTTTGTATTACTTGCTTAAGAAGTTATGCTTGGAAACCTATATAGGAGCACACTCCAAAACACGCCTCCAAGAATGCTGATTGGCTCTGATTAAAGTGAAACACAATTTAGCGTGTGATCGATTTTATTGTATGTTCCTGTCCCTCGCCCTAATTTTCATGTGGAATTTTCTTGAATATTCTTGTTATTTTGTCCAACATAGAGAAGACTTCTTTGACTTCTTTGACTCAAGCAAGTTGTCCTATCAAAACCACCATTGTTTGTGTTTTAGTTCAACCTTGGTAAATGAAATGTTGTTATTACTGATTTACAAAGACCACGTGTGCTGTGCATAAAATTCTACTGTTTGTGGCTTCTTGTGTATGAAGTCTGAAAACTTTCATTGAAGACTACAAACTCAGGCCAGCTGGGTGACTGTGAAAAGGGAGTTCAAAACAGAAGACATTGGGACACCACCAGCCTGTTTAGGTTACCAAACTTTTTTCCCCACTAAGCACAGACCCTAAACATACTAGTTTTATTGCTAGAAATATGAAGGTAGAGACTCATGTGACCATAGTCTGTTGGATCCCTGGGACCAGAAAGGGCAACAGTTAAGCAATTTTAAGGATTAAACTCATTAAGGAAAAGATTTTTTTCCAAAAGTCTAATTCTTTGAACGTCATTGTTTTAACTTTTCTCAAGATAGCAGAATTCACAGATTCAAGCACTGCACACATACAGATGTGGGTGTATGCCAACCAAACACCTTTTATGAAATGAGGCGTCAGCACTGCTTCACAGAAAAACAGGCGTGCTACCAACAGAAACTGTGCTGTCTGAGATTTCCAGTTTTTCCAGTCTGAAAACTTCTTTGGAAGACGATTTCCTTGGTATTATACTGAAACATTCACCACATCAACAACACCTGTCACACCCATCATCATGAACTGCACCTTTGTTTCACAAGAATTTGATGTGCAAATCTGGCCTTAACCAGCAGTTTAGGAGCAACTGTAGACCTGAACTGCCAGGAAAAACTGACAAGTGGCAGACAAGATTTCTTTTAAAAATTGAATTGGTACTAAAAGGAGAATAGAGAAAAGATGTAAATATTAGACACATAAGACACATAACAGCTTCCCAGCAATATGTTGATCTATTATTATTATTATGACTAATAGAAGTAGTAGTAGTAATAAAAGTGCATTTTCTTCTGACTTGTTTTTTGTTTACTGCTTTTGTCATAGCAGGGTACGCTTGGTGTCCCAAATGGTGAGACAGAGCAATGATAATATACACAGAATATGCAATATTAGGATATATATGTAGCAATACATTGCAAATTTACAGGTTATAGGTATTTACAGTTGTATTACGTTGTGTGGAATTGTGCAAAATTGCAAATTTACAGTTATGGATAAACAGTTTGACATATTCGGTGATTCAGTGGCCTGATGGCCTGTGGATAGAAACTGGTTTTTAGTCTGGTTGTCCTTGCTTTCACCCTCCTGTAGCGTCTACCAGATGGCAGAGATGTGAACAATGTGTACTGTGGGTGGGTGCTGTCCTTGATGATGTTGTGTGCCCTTTTCCTCACTGAATGTTGTAAATGTCCTGTAGTGGTGGTAGGGGTACTCCTCAGATGTGGTGTGCCGTTTTGACAACATGCTGGAGAGCCTTCCTGCCCTGAGTAATGCAGTTCCTGTACGACACTGTGATGAAGTTTGTCAGGATACTCTCCACTGTGTATCTGTAAAGCTTGCTCAGCAGTTTGGAGGTTAATCCAAATTTTCTTTCTTTAATTTATTTTGGGAGGTGTGAGGATTGAAAATTTTTGATTTATCTTACTAAAATGAGCAGCTATAATCATTTTCATACATTTAGTGCAAATTTTCTTGTATGAGTTGGCACTCAAACTTTTGAATGTCAGAAGCTTCGTTCGGCATGACAGATTGAGATATTGTCTGTGAAGGTTCTCAGTCATCCAGGTCATCGTCATTTCTTTGCAAGCTTCTTGACAGATTAGATATTGTAGTTAGTTATTTTTGTAGTATAAAACCTGTACTGCCTGATTCAGTGTGACCCTTTCTGTGAAACATGCTGCTATTCACATAGAGGTCACGCGCTGTGTCAACTTGAAATTTCAGCTGTCATTCTTTAAGGTGTGGAACATACTTGAACTATGTGAACTGATGTTTCTATATTATGTACAAGATTTCTTGAGTGTTCAACTGCAATACTGGACACAGTATTGTACTGTATTGTATTCTGTCTTTATTTATTTATTTTTAGATGGAACTGAGCTGGTTTTTGTTATATCTGTTGTTTTGTTTTTTTTTTTTTTTTTTTTTTTTATTTATTTTTTTTGTTTAATTTATTATGTTATTATTATTATATTTGTGAAAACAGAAAAACTAATTTAAAAAAAAAAAGATATTAACTCTGCCATTAAAACAGCATGCACTTGGATTTGCAATTGAGTTTTTGTACCACTTAAGGAGAATGAAAGCAGATAACTGTTGTTTGCATAAAAAAAATGCAGCATTTGATAAGTATCGAACAAAAAAAAAGAAAAAGAAATTTCAGCTGTCAAACCAGATTAAATCTTTTTTAAATGACAGATCTTTCTCCTGAGATTCCTGACAGAGGGGACACAATCATTGGTGAAGCCGAGGATGTCGTCAGGGCCGGCTGCTTTTCGGGGGTTAGTTTTCCTCAGCATACCTCAGTCGAAGTCAGACAGTTAGAGCTCTGTGCTGCCTCTGCTGGTAGAATCCCTCTGTGTTGGTTGGTGTTGATGGTGTTGAAGCGAGCGTAGAACTCATTTAGCTTGACCGGTAGTGTGTTGCAGCTAGCTGTGTTCCTCTGATAGAAATCAGTACTCAGGTTGTTGCACTCTACTTATTGCACTATTTATCGTATTTATTTTATTACTAAATAAAGTAGTCTGAGTCTGAGTTGTTTTAGTGTCCTTCCAGCTTGAGCCTGTACTGCCTCTTGGCTTCCCTGATGGCGCTATGCAGGTCATATCTGGCCTTTGTGTAGCCCTCTGCATCACCAGGGACAAATGCAGTGGAGCATGCATGTAGCATGGAACGTACCTCACAGTTCAACCAGGGTTTCTGGTTTGGACATGTTTTGTATCGCTTGGTGGGGACAAAATGCGGGGGAGGCACTGCTTTATATGTACCCTTTACAATGCTGTAGACATGGTCCAGGGTTTTGTTTTTCCTTGTTGTAAAGATCATGTATTGATGGAATTTTGGGAGCACAGTCCCGAGGTTGCAGTGATTAAAGTCCCCAGCAACGACAAACACAGCATCTGGATGAGCGGTCTCGTGTTTGCTGATGACGCCATGCTGTAGTCCTAGCACTGTGGTCCAATCAGACTGCGGCGGGATGTAAACAGCCAGCAGAAATACGGCATTGATCTCCGTCGGTCAATAAAAGAGTCTGCACTTCACCATTGGTACTTCCATGTCCCCACAACAGTGTTTCTCCACCACCTGTGTGTCCACACACCATCTGCTGTTGATGTAAGTGCATACACTGCCGCTTTTGTTTTTACCCAAGGCAGATCTTGTTTTCAAGAGAGCGAATGTTAGCTAACAAAAGTCTAGGCAGGGATGGTCGTGTGGCTCTAGTCTTTAGCCTAGCATGTAGCCTTGTCATGCTTGCCACTCTGAGTAGTTGAGCCCAAGGGTGTTGGGGCCTGCCAGTTCGAGTCAAAGGGATCCTTTAGCATCAATTGTGGGATCTACCAAGGAGAAGCATTGTCCCCAATGCTGTTCTGCATAGGCCTGAGCCCTGTCAGTGAGATCATCAACAAGACTGTCAGCCACCTCCTGTACATGAATGGCATCAAGCTGTGTGCCAAGACTGAACAAGACATTGAATCCCTGATCCACAGCACCTGGATTTACAGCAATGACATCGTAATGTCATTCACACTGGAGACAGGTAAATGGGAACCATGAAAAGGTCGCTAGGAAAGCTGCAACCACCAAGCATCTGTAGATGGTCGGCAAGATATGGTTTGTAAGGAACATGACCCCGCCCTGGTCCCAAAAACCAGAAGCCGATTTATAAATGAAAGGTGGTTTTATTGTGACTACACTGAAAGCTAAACTGCGGGTGAACAAAGGCCAACATAACAAACAAACAAGCTTACTCAGAAAAGGAGCTGCTATCTAAACCCTAAGTGAAACAAAAACAAACAAAAGACAAGTGCTACACCTAACTTTCTAACTGAATAAACAGGAGAAAACACTATAAGGAACAATAAGGCAGCTCACCCTTCTGCTTCAGTGCCTATTTACAAGTGAAACTAACCTGCACACCATGTACAAAACTAAGTAACTCTCGGAAATCACACACCCAAATGTCAACGGCTATGGAGGCCAAGGATGGGTATGCTGCTGCTGTCACTTATTGCCCCGGGACAACGGGCGAGTGATTATCAAAACAGCCACATGATCAGGGGACCAATCAGCAGCTGCCAGCTTTCCAATCACAATTACCTGCAGAGATTCTTAAAGACACAGAGCAAAGAACAAAACAAGTCATCATGGCCAGGTCGCAACAACCCGTCCCAAGACCAAACCAAATCAAGAGACAGCCCATCTGCTAGCACATTCACTAGTCCTTTTTGTGTGTGCATTATTCCAAATTAAACTCCTTTACCAGGAGTGACCATCTCATTAGCCTCTGGTTGAGTTTTGCATCCGGTAAAAAACACAAGGGTTGTGATCAGTGTAGACAATGATAGTTATGAACTAGAACCAACATACAATTTAAAATGTTGTAACGCAAGCAAAAGGAAAGAGTTTCTTTTCAGTGTACAGTACTTCTAGTGTAAGTGTTGAATTCAGGATCAGACTAACTAAGTCTGCAGAATTTTTGCAGCAGCCACAATAATAGCCAGCAATTCTGAGGAAATGGCGAAGCTGACATCTAGTACGAGGCCCAGGGAGATCAAGAATAGCCTGAATTTTGGCCAGGAGTGGGAGTACCTG